AAGTAGAAGTGTTGTTACTTTAGAATTAGAAAATAGGTTCCTGAGGCAGAACCGGCTGTTTCATTTACACTCATCAGTCAGAATATCTGTTTGCTTGAGTGCTTCCTAGGAGACCACTTCAGTTTTCAGACCTAGCTAGTTAGGGTTGTTTTAGTCCATTTGTGCTACTATAGCCAAAATACATGAGACCGGCTCATTTATAAGTAATAGAAATTCCCTTTCACGGTTCTGGAAGCTGGGAAGGTCCAGAGATTATGTCTTTGGTGAGGGCTCCTCCTTGATTCCAGGACGATGACTGACAGCTTGTGTCCTGCTATGGCAGGGAACAAACACATCTGGCGAGAAAATAGAAAAGCAAAAATAGTCTGGCTACATCCTTCGAATCCTTTTATTGTGCTTCTTAGTAAGTTCTCGAGGGCTTGGTTTTCATATATTGAACAACACCTAAGACTCCCCTCAGGATTATCTCACCGGGTCTTAGGCTCTGATATAGAAGCTTAGGGAGTCGTGTATGTAAATAAAACCATAAAAGGCATGTTTTCCCGATTGATCTTGCAAGATTTTTGATCACACTTGTGTGTTTGCTTATCTTTTATTTGGTGATGCTAGGAACAGAAACCAAAGCCTCATTTTTAGCCAGTGAACACTGTGCCACTGAGTTACACCTGCAACCCTCCACAGGTCTGATAGAGAATGCCACCTACTTGTCAGGGTAAAGCTTCCTGGAATATATGTAAAACAGGACAGATGTTTAATATTACGTTTTTCTTACTCTATTAATATTTAAATAAGATCTAATATATATATACATATATATATACATATATATATATATGTATATATATATATATCCATTCCTCCAGGCCTCCCTTCCTCTTTCATTTTTTTTTTTTTTGATGACCGAGTGTCCATTCATCTCTTTTCTGCTTGTGTATGTGTGGCATATTCACGAGCGTGCACATGTCTGCATGTGCATCTGTGTGGGCCAGAGGTCACTATAAGGTACCTTCTCTTATCACTCTTCAATACATTATTTGGAACCAGGAGCACAGCAATTTGGTTAGACTAGCTGAAGAGAGAATCTCTTGGATCTGCCTTGTCTCTACTGCACAGCCCTGAGGTTCGCTAAAGAGGATTGCCTCTGGGAGAAGGGGGACCATGACTTCTGGCATGTCCACTGTGTTCCAGTGATTGGCCCCACACCTATGAGGACTCAAGTAGCACTAATTTGACTTGATGTGCTGTTTTACAGGAATAAAAAGGAGGGCAAGTAGGTGAAAGGGGCTGGGGAGATGGGAGTGAATCTGGGAAAAGTTAGAGGTAGAGTGGGAGTGAATATGATCACAATACATTGTGCAAAATTCTCAAAGAAATAATAAAAATGAACAATTGGTTAGTTTTGATGAACATGTAGGCCTGATGTTTTCAATGAGAATATGTGGTCCAGTAGAGTTTCCAGATCTTCAGTGATGAGCAAGGGTATTTTTAAAACCTTTATTAGGAAATTAGATGCCAGATAGATTCTTGAATTAGGCATCAATATATGGAACTACTTTCATCAGTGCCCTGCTTATATAGATTAATTTATAATTGACTTAGAATTGCTTTTTCAATTTTTATGTCTGATGTTGGAAAGAACGTGCTTTTAAACCGTGCTTTGCATATTTAGGTCTTATTGAATTTATAAGTTATTTAAAAACTGAGAATCTGAACTTCCAATTCGAAGTGATGAATTCTCACACTTATTCCCTTTAAATCTGAATCTTCTGTTGTCTTAGTAAAATCACTATCCCTTATTTAGAGCATTTTGTGTAGACTTCTAGGGAGTGCAAAATTGTAACTGGATAGTCCATGCATTCTTACTGTTTGGTTGTTATATTACTTTGCTTTGCTTACTGGTGTATTGTTTGGTAAAAATATACTACACATTGCATAGTGTATCTTGGAAATTACTACATTGTTCTGGTATTTGGCACAGTGTGTTTTGTGCAGTATATACTGGTCATGTAGTTACTTTCGTTCTATTATTCCTTGAACACAATTCTAAATGACCCAAGTGCTGTCTCTGCCTTCTGTCTCTGTCGTCCTGTTTATTTTCACCTTACTTCTTTAATGGCAAATGCTATTGGAGGCCTCTTTTGTTCCTTCACTTGTGATTCATTATAATCAGAACCTACACAAACTCTTGTCTTAACCCAGGGCACCATCTCTCACTCCAGCCTGTTTCCTGGGCAGCCATTATTCATCATTTTATTTGCTTGATTATCTGTTTAATATTTGACTCCCCGTGCCCATTGTAAGCTCAGTAAGGAGATGATTGTATCTATTATGGGGCACTGTTGTATATCTATTGCCCGCAGAGGACTAAGCATGTAGTTGGTGTTCAGTAAGTATGTGTTAAATGAGGTGAGCGAATATCTTTCAGACAGATTAAGTTGTGCTCCAGTGTTTTTTAAACACATCAGTGTTAATTGCCCAAAGGAAGCCTGGAAGCTGTGTGAGAGTTTCACAATTTTTAGAATTATTCCATTTTTCTTATATATCGATTTATATTTGAAACACAGGACACACATGATAACTTAAACAGGGACTATTGATCTTTAGGTAAGCTTGGCCTTAAGATTAATGTCTGAAACACCCCCCAAATCAAGGTCTGGTTGTGTCACCAAGGAGTTTTCCTGTGAGACAGTTGCATAAATTTTCGTGAACATTAGATTAGCAGTGCAGACAATAACACAGAAATTCCCAGTACACAAGTTCTCATTGCCTGAAGGCTGTTGGTGGTGAACAGTTTTCTCTGAACGGCTTAGGAATGTGCTGTTATTTTGTTGGGTAAACAGAATGTAGTGGGAGTTGGGAGTTTCATTTTCACAGACTGCCATGCTCTTAATACCTCATCAATACATTTGCGAATGTTAATATTTAGTTTAATATTAAAGTATATATCAATTTTCTGATTGAATTTGATAAAAAAATTTATGATTGAGTTATTGAAGAATTTATGCAAGGCAGTGTCCACAGGCATATTAGTCATGCATAACCCATGGTTTAAGGAGTCTGTTTTTAAGTTTGGCTGGAAAAGGACAAGTGGTATGAAAAGTTTGCAAATAGCATTAGGAATAAAGGGGGTAAACAGTTTTCAACAAGGTAATCCATTGAATAGTCACCAAAAGAGGTGATATGTGGGTGTCTATAGATAAACAAAGTTTCAGTAGGTGAATCGATAAGACACCTCTGTCCCTGTTGTATATTGGTATAATTGACTTTCAAACCAAATGGGGAGTAAGTAAAAGCATCCAATGATGATGAAACTAATTGATGTGTTACTAGTGAACCTCAGTCACAAACCCAGTGTAGACCTGAAGTCAACTGGCTTTCTATAGGGATCTCCTTCAAGAGTTAAATTTATACAGAACAAAAGCAAGAACACATCCAGATTATGTGTCTATTGACAATTTATCTCATTCTTCTGCTGAACTGAAGAATATTGACATCGGTGACAGACTGTCAAGGTCTGTCCACAGAGTAATCTTTCCTCTCCTAGGCAGTGATAACTAATGAACAAAGAGATCATCTACTGTTTTATTGCTCTTGGGAGAAGTCTGTGCATGGGAGAAGAATGTAGTTCTAGAAGTATCTATGAAGACAAGTGGCTTACATTTAAAATGAAAGATAAGTGATAGAATTAGAAATTTTAATTTCTAAAACTGACAAGTCATTAAAGCCTTATTTTATTTTGAGAGCAAACTATTTAATATCTAATTTTGGTCCTCTTCACAAACATTTCTGACTGTGGAAACTTTGACAAGTAATATTAAAAGGCTATTGTGTCTAATTTTTTTTGAGTGAAACCCAAGGTTGATTTTAACATTGTCATTATAAAATCAGTTAAAGGATATTGTTTCCCTATGCAATCTAATAAAGCTAACCACATTATTTGGACTGATTTTACTCAGCTTAACTTTACTACTGAAATAACCTAGTCAATTACTGTCCTTGGATTTATTAACTTTTTTCTCAACAGTAAGCTAAATTTATATTGCATTTTAAACATACCATTAATTGACAGAATGCAAAGACCAGGATCATTTATTACCATTAGATCTACTTAACTTTCCCAGCCTGTCATATTTTATAGAATGAAAGTTTGTGGGTTATGGAGTTCAGTTTGAGACCTTTATCTGTGAAAGTTTAATAGCCGACTCCAGTAAACAGTGATTTATTATAGTAGTAAATATGATTAAAGGGGAGGAATTGTTTTCTATTGATCCAACAGTAGAGTAGTGGGGATTAAGCTTGTATATCAGGTCATCTACTCTCTGCCGATATTTTACTTCTAAAAATGTTTTGTTTTTATAAATACCCATTTGATAGAACCTAAGTAAGTGTTATTTGGACAAAATCATGGGCAACATGCAGATTTTTTTCTTTCTTCTTCTTTTTTTTAAAGAGGATCTACATTACTATAAAACAACAGATATATGCATGCGTAAATATATGGATTTTATGCTCTCCTATGTGAGTTTGAATTTCTGGTAATGAGAAAACTAAACTAGCATTGAATCAGGTTGTTGTGCAGTGAAAGAATAAAATACAACCAGTTCTGGCTTGATCCGAGTGGCTGTCCCCTGAGTTAGGTAACTGGAGACATACGGATGGAATCAGCCTCCCATTCAAGCAGAGTGTCTTTCGGGGTGGAACTTCTGCACTATGGCAGAAAGAGGATAGGGTCTGAACAGTAGCCAACAGTGATGGGCACAGTGATAATCTTTACCCGTGCATGCATGTGTGCTGTGGTCACAGGGCTGTTCTGATTTCTGTGTCTCTCTCTGCTTTCCAGTTCTTTCTTCCTCCACTCATGTTTGCCTAGTGTCTTTTAAGCTCAGTGTTTTTTGTTTTTTGTTTTTTTTTTGTGAACTAATTTGTTTAGAGGTGAATGAAGAGTTTACTAAATAGGGCATTCTCCACATAATCTTTTCCTTTTCCTTGCTCTTCTGCAGATGCCGATTTGAAGAACTGCCCTGAAAACTGGTGAGTGGGTTGTGCCGTGCCCAATGAAGACGTGGTGGCATCTTGGGCATTGTGTTTCTCCCTTTTCTCCTTCTCGGTGCCTCTTCTATCTGCAGCACATTCAGTTTTGCTCTTTCCTTTGGCTTCCTCTGACACTCTGTCAAGGACAGTGGAAGAAAAATCAGAGAGACGTGTAGATCAGTGCTATTACACATGTAAGGGTTTTAGCCTCCGCTGAACCTTGAGTGCTACTCAGCAAATCCTTCCTGTCTCCCTGTCTGCTCCCTTTCTCATCTATCATGTTCTTTGTGTTTGCATGTGCTGTTCTTTTCCTGAAATGCACTTTTAAAAGGTTTTTATAGATGAAGCCTACTCATCCTTCAACTCAGGACTGGCTTTTACCTCAGTTTACTAAGCTTTGTTGTCTGCCTCTTGCTCCTCCATGTCTTGCCCTGGCATTATTTCCAGCACAGTGAGTTTCTTCCTTTGGGCTGGTTTTGTGCACCATAACCAGTGTTGTCGTTAGGTTAGGCATTACATGAAATGACCAAAGGCCATGTCCATGCTTCTCAAATTGTTTCTTTGTTAATTGTATGGCACATGGTTAATGTTATGCTGGATTCGCTAAGTCAATCCAGTGCCTGTAAAAATGTCATTCACAAAACGCTTCCTGCTAGAGGAACTATCTTAAAATTTGCCACAATGCCTTCCTGTTCATAATGATCGTACTTTATTTTGAACACATCCTCAAACTGTGATAGCATTAAGTGGCAGACAGATGGGGGAGTGAGGACAGAGTTCAAATGATAATTTGCTTCCTTGCTTTCTGATAGGGTAGTAAACACCTTCTAGAACATATCTTTATTTTTTGAAAAGAGATTTCAGGTTTACAGGATTCCGTAATATCTGCAAGTAGTTCAGCCACCATTTGTTAGCATCTGTATATTGTCACTCATGAACTTTCTCTGTGTTTCTTTCCCACTTTTATCACATCTTTTAATGTTACTGTCTTTTGCCTCCTGACTATGGATATCTCATACATAAAATCTACAATGCTGGTAATACTTATTTTCATCACCTACTTGCCAGCTGTTCGGACAACAGCTGACTTTTCTTCAGTAGTAAAAGGGTGGAGCCCTTGAGTTGGTTTACAGCTGCTAAGAGCTTCTGATTCTGCTCCCTCATTGCCTTGAAAACCCAAGTCCCTTATTACGTAAAATAGCCCAGCTGCTCTCTGGTTTTTAACAGGTGATGGGGAAGAGTTCTTGATAGAATAGTGAATAATCGTACCAATTATAGGGGAGGCTTGGTGGTAGCGGACAGCTTATATCAGATATCAGGAGTGAGTTTAACCATTGTTATGTTTCCATATATTAAGGATCATTAATTGGTGTTTTTATTTAAAATAAAACCCACAAAGTTGAAGAGCTGCTTGTTGGTGTGTGGGCAGGTTGGCTCGGTTTCATCATACATTTCTATTTACGTATGTATTTCTTTTGGAACTTGATATAATTGACTTTAAAACAGCTCAGTCAAATGCAGATTTGATCCTACTTTATCCAGTACAAAAGAGACTTACTGTTCCCTAACTAGGAATTATATAGCTATCATTTAACCCACTTTATAACCCATTTTACTATATAGCATTACTTTTTCCTAATTGAGATTTCAATGTGTGTTTATATGACTGCTCATGGTTCAAAGTAGAAATTAGTTCTTTTCACTATTAATAGAGTTACTGATAGTACAGCACCAGCATTCATCATATGCTTTTGGGGAAGGTATTCTTCATTGTATATAATGCAGCACAAATTTAAAATGCTTACTACATTAATATATTGCCTTTCAAACTAATAATATATATCATAATATAATGGTGTGAGATTTCCTTTATAGAAGGAAGACACTTGAATTTATTTCTGTATATATATTTAAGAAAATTTCTCATAAAAATATATGCTTCCAGTGCATAATAAATAACCACTTTTTAAAGCTAAATTGATCTAGCCATTAATTTGGCACCTATTTTCGAGTTCTCAGAATATGTCAGCTATGAGCTACATCATGAGGACACAGTAGTGACCACAGCACATGAAGAGATGTTCTGTGGCAGCTCAATGATACTTTCATAAATAGATGTCTTGAGTGCTTTCCTAAGTGCACACCAAGATGTATTTGTGTGATGATATGTGTAGCATAGCTTCTATAAACATGTTCCATTCTTTTCTTAAAGTTCCAGAGGCACTCAGCATTTTAACAAAGTAATTGTAACTCTTGGGTCAATAAATGATCTGTATCAGTTGAGAGGGGAGCTAAAAATTATTCAAAAGGTGATTCTCATCTATTGTCGCAATCTGAAGTTGCTTTTTCAGAATTATATTGAAACAGTCACTCTTTTCAGGGTATTTTGAACCTGCTGTACAGTCTTCCAAGTCAACCACAGAAGGACATTTGTGTATCGTCATTTTATATATCTTAGCATTTTATATTTCTCAATGTATAGCAAAATCTAAATGCACTCCCTTAACACCTATATAATTTGGGTTTCCTTATAATTTTTCTTCGATAGTAAGTACAATGATATCAAAAGTCTGAATGAACACTAATATCCCTCAAGTCAGGGACAATAATAGAAGGACAATATATTATAGTGTCTATTGAAGTTAGATATTTCTTCTCTGTATAGCTGAGGAAATCTGAAGTTCATGCACGGTGAGTGGTCCCCTAATACCTTACCCTAGCAGAATTTCTAAGGAGGCCTGCTGTCTTTAGAACAGCATTGGAATCTTTCCATCCTGTTATCATTTCTCTCCGGATTTAAACACAGTCACTGAGCTAGTTGTTAGGAGAACTGGACTGTCCAAATCATTGTTTAAACTTTATGTGTTGGAGGAGGTAGCCGTGAGGTGGCTTTAGCAGGTAAAGATGCTTGCAGCCAAACCTGACGGCCTGAGTTCAATCCCTCAGAACCACAAACTGGACGAGAACCAACTCCTGCAAGTCATCCTCTGACTGCTGCGTGACTCTGTGGCACATGTGTGCATACATGTGCACCCACACAAATACTTAGTGAATAGATATAATTTTTAAATTAAAATAAAACATAGGAAACACCAGGTTTATCCTTGCAATTGTTTCCTTCATCAGAGACTTAATAAGAAAGGAGCCAATGTCAGACATGTTTCAATTCATAGTATTTTAAAGGAGTGTAAAATTGTTCTATACAAAACAGACTGGACTGTGTTTTGGAGAAGTTTAAGCTATAGACAGACTTCGACAGGAAGACTGTGGCTCCTGGATCCGAAGCCCTTTGAATGGTTTGGTGTGCGAGTTCTCCTGTGTGTGCAGGACAGCGTGGCTCACTGAGCTGAATCCTTCTCATTTGCCCATCTCTGTGCGTTAGCAGTTAGAGAAAGTGCTGTTGTGCAGTAAGTTTTTTTTGCCACTCTTATAGATTTTCAGATTACTTTCTAAAGCAGACTCATGGTGAGTTGTTGAAATGCTTCATTTCAGAGAGTTGCATGTGACCAGGCATGCCTTAAATTGAAAAGTTAAATTAAATTACTGCTTATGTAACATTTCTTTCCAGCACTGAATCTAATGTCTATTACTTCCTGAGCACTCATCAGTGATTATATTTCCACCGTCTTAGTCCATTTATCGTTTCTTGAAGGTAGTTTAAGAAACAAATTTCACTACTGTTTTGTAATCAGTTTGACTTAACAGAAAATGTTGCGCTAATATTAAACCATCAATTGTCTTTTGGTGGGATTTGATAAGAATCAAAACTTGATACGGCATGATTTGTTTGTAGGTCCACCAGGCAAGGTATTTATAATGGTTCTCAGCTACAATACTGAGTCCAAATCTTAAGTACTCTTGTTATTTGGACAACTTAAATTAGCTATTTTGTGTTTGTCTAAAAATAATCTTTCTTCTTTGAGATGCCAACCAGTTATTCATCTGAAAGTACACCTAATCAGTTTCAAAGAGAAGACAAAGAAAGCCTGAGCCCGTTTTGAACATTATTCCTCCTCGAAATGTTCTGAGGACTGGAATTTATTTCACAGTTGCAGCTAAGCAGGCTTCTGGGCTGAAAGGAAGGGGATGAATAGTGTCTAAATCTACTTTAGAAGAGAGCTTGTTTATCGAGCTCCACCTCATTTTCTTTTATCTGTCACTGTGTAAATAATAGGTAGAATTTCTTGGTTCATTGTATTGTACGTGCACAGCATACAGCTTAGCATCAGCGAACTGTAGCGATCTCCATTCTTCCTCAGCTTTTCTATTTTTTCTGTGCTCCCTTGCCCATCTCACCTTGCCTGCAGTATGATCCAATTAGCGTTATGTACTTTGAGCCATGAGTTTCCTCATGTCTGTCTCCACATTTACACATTCATTCTGGAATTACACAATTCATTCTGGACATATGGGTTTCTTTGGGGATGAGATAAGGTGAAGTTTGCTATTAGGTAGGTATAAATACAACTTTTTGGAGCTTTGAATATTTTGGTCAGTTTTTTACCCTGTTAAATACATTCATGAGGTTTAATTGTATCTCATTGGCATTTACCAAAAATGCAAACACATTAAGGAATTAAATAGCATGGAAATGTATTTCTGTCTTTTGGAAAAGGAGGTTCTGTCGTGAACAGTTTGCGGCTCTGTGCTGTAGCCATGATCCTAAGAGACTCATACTCTGGTCTCTCCTCTTTCTTCAACATCTTTTCCTTGACTTTCGTTTTCAGCATCATATGGTAGCTTCTGGTGTGGTAGCTGTCTCCTGTGCAGTCCAGATTGCAGGAAGGAAGCAAAACAGAGAGGAAAAGGGAGTGTGTTTTCCAGCTGAATCAGCACCTCCCAGGAAATTCTGTGCAACACTTAAGATGATTAGCTTGGACTTCCTAATACAGCCCCACCTACTAAATGGGAGAGTGGAAGGTGTTCCTCTAGAGAGGGTGTTGTCCATTAGATAACAAAAAGCGGGTGTTGGTTATAGTCAGTTAATTAGCAATTGTGCT